ATGTGTTGCGAAGCCTTTAATGTGCGCATGTTTAACAGCGGCTCAACTAAATCACACAGCGCTCCAGACACAAAGCCCAGGTTCTCGCTCACTGCCAAGTGCCTGATTTCTGTTTCCAAAGGGGGGGATGTCAATTAGAGGAATTCGCCGCAAATAAACAGAGCCCGTTCACAAAATCGTGTCAGAGATAAATGAAAGTCCCTGTGTGCCTGTCTCTCTCTCTCTCTCTCTCTTTATTTCTCTATCTCCTCTCTCTATCTATTTCTCTCGCTCTCTCTTTTCAAAGCATTCTGTTCTCTCCTTTGTTTTGAGCGGTGAGGGATGGTGAATGCATTGATAAGCGCTCCGAGACGCTGCCCTGTGGGAAGGACGCTCCCTACGTGCACGTTCTTGTTTTGCTGTTATGTCTAATAAAACTCCCCTGAATATATTCCAGCGATGATGATGGGGGGTGGTGATGATGGGTGGGGTGGGGGGGGGGGAGAGAGAGAGAGACGGGAGGGAAGGCAAAACCAAGTCAAAACTGCAGAAGGATTGATCCATCGTTTAATTATCGCCCCCCACACCCCACCCGAACCCCACCTTTAATTTGCGGTGTTTCTTAAAACAGGATTTTTGTGAATGAGGAATTCACGTGGCACAAACACAGGGAATGATAGGACCCTCTTCCAGATTCCTTACCAAGGAATTCCCAATTAAATGAACGGAAATCCGGGGTATTGTCAGCCAGGAGCAGAGAGAGAAAGAGAGAGAGAGAGAGCGAGAGAGAGGGGGAAACTCCCTTCTCTTTTTCCCCAACAGCGTCGCGGGATCTTTAACGTCCACCTGAACAGGGCACAGACGGGGAGTGAGGTTTAACGTCTCTTCCGAAGGACGGAGTCTCTGACAATGCAGAGCTCTTTCTCTCTCTCTCTCTCTCTCTCTCTCTTCCCCAGCGATGTGCTAGTACGTCAGCCCGGACATGGGGGTTCAAACCCCCAACCTTCTGAGCACCCAGAGGCGAGGGGCGCTGCCGACTGAGCCAGGCAGACGCGCAATCTGCCGCAGAAACGGTTAAAAAAATACGTCACCTCATTTGCTGCCTCTCCTCACTACCTATTTAAAGCTCATTTGCATAATATATCAGCCCTCTAAATTAATAGAGTGCAACTGATAATTAATCCATTACTTTAGTCCATTTAAGTTCAATAAATTCGGGAGCATTATTTTAGAATGGCTTCCGAATTTTGAATCAAATAATTAGAACAATCCCATTAAAGGCTTCTGAATTTTAATACTTAAATTCGCCATTAATTTCCGGATGGGTTCCCGATCAACCAGGAAAGGTTCTACGGGTGAATATTGGAACCCGTGACGTATTAAATATCACCTCAAGTCCGTGAAGAACCATTGCGATTTTCAGCTTGTCTCAATTGGTAGCATTTGGCTAAAATAATCTGTTTCAAAGCGCTTCACGGGACACGCTGTAAAGTGCAGTGACTGTGTATTTTGTGGGCGAAACGCGGCAGAGCCCCACAAACAGTCGTGGAGCGAGCGACCGATTTTATTCGGGGGATTGTTGGCCAGGACACCGCGAGAGAGAGAGAGAGAGAGAGAGAGAGAGAGAAACTCCCTTCTCTTTTCGAACAGGGCCGCGAGATCTTTAATGTCCATCTGGACAGACAAACAGGAGACGAGACTGGAGATAGCAGGATAACGTTATTGAGTGGGTAGGAATAACATTCCCCTCGCTAATATTTAATAATAATAATAATAAACGAATGAGAGCACATCCGCGAGACAGATACATGGGCCGAATAATACACACGATATTCTACGTGGTGAGCGTATCCTCTCTCGATTTGTCTTGCGTCGGCGACGGGCTCTGTTAGCAGGAAAGCTCACTCCATACGGTCACTGCGTTTGTTTCAGGGTCCGAAACCCACGTGACTATACAGAGCACGTGCGTTACAGAGGTCAGTGCTGGGCGCGACCGGTTTCGCCCACAAAAACACGCAGTCACTACACTGTACAGTACATCCTGCGAAGCGCTTTGAGACGTCGCGAGGTTGAGCCGTGGCGAGGAGCTGCCTCAAATGTACTAGGATTATTATTATTGCGTGTGATTATTTCCGAGGGCATTATAAAAGCCCCTGTGGGCATTTCTCACTGATGCAATAGTAATGGTAATTTGTCGGAACCCGTGAGTAAAAACGAGGTACACATCAAAACCGTGTTTCCTTTTGCAAACCCGCGGAAAAAAAAAAAAAAAATGACTGTATAAATAAATTGGACGAGCTTCCTGTGCAGGAGAGCGGATCCACTGCAGATTAATCCGGCTTCCTTTCCTTATATCTTGTGGGGACGCATTGCCAAGGTTAGGTGGGTAGCAGCGTTTTTTTTTAATAATAAAAATAAACACACAAGACGTGCACTCCTCTGCACAAAGCAACTGCGATCGAGGATCCAGGCCAATGCAATCGGAAGTCAAAGCTTCCTCCGAAACAGCCCTTTCTATTCGATTCCAATCCCCCCCCTCACCCCCAGTCTCTACCCCTCCTCTCCAGTTTCAACCATCCTTCCTTCCTTTACAACATTGGCATCAAAATGCACAGTCACTACACCTTACAGTTCAAGTTTTCACCCACAAAATGCAGTGACTCCACTTTACAGTGTCTCAATGACGTGATGAGGCGCTCTATCAAATACAAGGATTATTATTATTATGATTATATTTACTGTTATTAAAATCCCGTGAAGTGGTTTGAGGTGTTGACTTGACTTAAGTCGCTCCATTGAACGCAAGAACTGTTATGATCATAAATGTAATATTCCTCGCATTTAATACAGCAACGTTCGCATCGGGAGGACGTCTCACAGTGCTTCACAGGATTCATTCACTGTCAAGCGTAGTGACTGTGTGTTTTGTAGGCCAACATGGCAGAGAATTTGTGCGACGTCCCAAATATAATAAAATTCCAACCCACCATCAGCCCCAAACCCCAATGGCTGTTTAAACAACAAACAATGATCCTTGCATTTGATATAGTGCCCTTCATGTTGGGAGGATGTCCCAAAGTGCTTCACAAGATTTACTGTAAAGTGCAGTGACTGTGTGTTTTGTGGACGACATTGAAACAAGTGCGGGGAACGACGACGATACTTTGATCGTCAATTGGAGACTTTGACCCGAAAGCTCGTTTGAGAAAGAAAATGCTGTAGGTTTTGTGTTTCAGACCAAACTTTTTATGGCGTACAATTATCTTTCGCCCACAAAATATACAGTCACTGCACTTTACAGCGTATTCTGTGAAGCGCTTTGACACGTCACAAAGATGAGATAAGGCGCTAGAGAAGGGAGTTTCTCTCTCTCTCTCTCTCCTTCTCGGTGTCCTGGCCAATATTCCGACAGATAAAATTGGTCACTTGCTCCGCGTTTCGCCCACAAAATATACTTTACAGTCACTGCACTTTACGGCATATTCTGTGAAGCGCTTTGGAACGTCTTGACGATGTGATCGGGCGCTGCATCACATGCACGGATTATTTTATTGGTTACATAGCCTCATGTGTTTTTTTTTCCCTTCGATGAGCTCGGTTACTCCGCACTGAGTAGCGTTCCCAAGATTTTATCCGACACGGGGAAGGCTATACAAACACAAGGTTGCTGTAAGACTGCCGCCAAGCAGTTTATATATAACGTATACAGAGATATGCATTATATATAGATACATATATAAAATCACAGCTTAGTTTGTTCAACTTGTAAGGACTGACTAGTCACTGGGGGGCAGGGAATCCTCCCCCTCAGCTCCTGCAGCCAAAGCCCTAACTAACGGGGAGGGGGGTCCTCGCTGGACAAGCAGCGGGAAAGCTTGGCCAGACAGCGCTCTCAATGGCCGTGATATGTGTGGGTTTAGCTGGTTAGACTCCAGCAGTTACCCCAACGCACTCTCTGCCCCCCACCCCCACCCACCCCCCAAGCCTTGGCTCTCGCCAACCTGCGCCTAATACTCTCCGGAATTAGCGAAGCAGGATGCGTCCTTCCAGAAAGAGAGAGAGAGAGAGAGCGCGGGTTCCATTCCAACAATCTGTCTCTGGCATTGCCAGGTGTGGGATGGGATGCCTGGAATATTCTCAGTTTAGGTTCGGAGACTCTTAAGCAACGGTGACGGGTTTCCGAGCGTGTCAGACAACCCCCCCCCCCCCACCACCACCACCACCCCCACCCCCCGGCCGGGACAAACCCAAATACAATGATGTTATTTTGCCTTATAACAAACACTCTGATCCCGAATTCCCGCGCGATCGCCCCAGTTGTTACACAGGTTTGGGGAACAGAATTCCAATAACAAACCTCGCAGTTTGCTGGAGCGACCTGTCACGTCTTCCAGACGTCTCAAAACGCTTTGTGGCACATGGGGGTAAAGTGGGGCGACCGGTCGTGCCTATTGTGGTCGAAAACGCGGCAGGAAATTCGCGCACAGCAGCGTCCCACAAACAGTGGTGGACTGAGTGATTGTTATTATTGTTATTATTATTATTATTATTAATATTTTTTTTAAAAAAAAGGTCTCAAAGCCCTCAACACGGATGATTGGGAGGTGGGGCGGGCGATGGGGCGATGGGGAAAATGGGGAGCATGGAAAGGGTAACCAAATGCGGTGTCGGAAACACAGGACAGTTAAGGCAGGTTCACATACCACGGCTTGACACAGTGACACTGTTAACACTTCACACCATACGCAGCCCCCACCCCCCCCCCCCCTCCAACCCCCCCCCCCCCCATGCTGTTGCCTGCCTTAAATAGCTGTCTAACTTGCGGTTATCTTCGCGAATGCGAATGGAATAAAAGCACAATTTTTAAAAAAATTACCTCCCCCCCATCCCCATCTTTCTCTCTCTCTAACAGAACTCTGTCCAAACCCCCCCCCCTAAAAAACACACACACATACACACACACACATACCCACATCCACTCCAACACAGTCAATGTGAAATGAATCTTTGAAACTCCTTACCAGTGTCTCATTCTTCTGTCGCAGGGAGAGAAGAGATCATTAATAAAATTCAACTGAGTGTATATCTTTTATATATACATATATATAGAAAAATTATACATATATATATATATAAATTGTGTGTGTGTTTTTTTAAGCAAAATAAAAAGGTAGAGAGAGAGAGAGGGAGAGATGTGTTCAGATCTCACACACACACACACAATAGGATGTGAAATTAGGATGCATTTAAAATCCACCTTTCATTGACGAATTATTTCTCTCCAGGAATGAAGAGAAGAGAGGAGAGGAGAGAGAGAAATAGAGAGATAAGAGAGAGAGAGAGAGATAAGAGAGAGAGAGAGAGAGAAAGAGATCAACTCAGTATTTTTTTTTACCAGTGGGAGGGGAGGGGGGGGGGGGGGGGAGAGAGAGAAATAATTGTAATTATAATCACCAACTCGTCTCTAGGAATGAAGGAAGAGGGGATGAGAGAGAGAGAGACAGAGAGAAATAAATCAAGTCAGTTTTTTTATAGAGGGGGAGAGGAATTAATTGCATTGACAATCACCAACTCTCTGTCCATCCCCCCCACCCCCCCCCCCCACCCCCTCCACCCCATTTCCCCCCTTTTATTTTCTTTACTCACCTCAAACCCCAATGTCCAACAGAGAGAGAGAGAGAGAGAGAGGAGCGAAAGTCCTGAGCGATCAGAAGGGAAAGGCTGTTGAGTGCTTGAGATCAGCGCATGTTCTGGGTATTCGCTGTCCATTCGCTGTTGTTTCAGATCCACCCCGGGACGATGGTGCTTTTTTGGGGGGGGGGGGGGGAGTGGGGGGGTAATGCCAGGCTAAGGAGCTAAACAAGTGGTCCTCTGTACCCACCAAACCAGTCCTCTCCTCTCTCCTCTCCTCTCTCTATCTCTCCATCTCCCCCGTTCGTTTTATGGGATGGAGGAGATGATGGTTGGTTGGGTAGAGGAGGGGTGTAGGAGAGAGGGAGGGAGGAGAGAGAGAGAGAGAGAGAGGAGGGAGGGAGGGGGTGGAGAGGGAGAGAGATGTATAGAGGGAGGGAGGGAGGGAGGGAGGGGGTGGAGAGGGAGAGAGATGGATGGAGGGAGGGAGGGGGTGGAGAGGGAGAGAGATGGAGGGAGAGAGGGGGTGGAGAGGGAGAGAGATGGAGGGAGGGAGGGGGTGGAGAGGGAGAGAGATGGAGGGAGGGAGGGAGGAGGTGGAGAGGGAGAGAGATGGAGGGAGGGAGGAGGGAGGGGGTGGAGAGGAGAGAGATGGATGGAGGGAGGGAGGGAGGTGGAGAGGGAGAGAGATGGATGGAGGGAGGGAGGGAGGTGGAGAGGGAGAGAGATGGAGGGAGGGTGGGGGTGTAGAGGAAGAGAGGGGAGGAAAGGATGCTCTCTCCTCTCTCCTTCTCTCTCCCTCTCTCCACAGTTCCTGATCACAATAATCGATCAGGTTACCAGGGAAACGATGATACAAAAAGGACCGATAGAGAAGGAGAGAGGAGAGAGGAGGGAGGAAGAGAGCTGGAGAGCAGGGAGGGGGGGGACTGGTGGGTGGGGGTGGGGGGGGGGAGAGAGGGGATGGGTTGGGATCAAATCAAAAGTCCTCTCTTCCCACCTCTTTTGACCTCACTGGGAATGGAGACTGTGGAACCCATTGAGTTTTTAAGGGAACCTAAAAAAAAAGGTCTCCTAATCAGATCGATCGATAACTGATCGATAACTGATCGATAACTGGATCGATAATGGGTCAGCGCCCCAGGAGAGACAGAGACCGATGCAAACGCCATCGCCTGCGCCGTGTGTCCAGTGTCTATCTTTCTTGTCCAATTCCTTGCCCCAGCCCCCACCCCCCCCCACCCCCCCCAACACACACACCTTCAGTGTAGTAACTAACAGTACAGAGATACCAGCAAATACTAGCCCCCCCCCCCACCCCCCCACCCCCCTACACACACATAAACAGCCCGAATCTTCAGTGCAGCCACGAATCGCAGAGAGATATCAACAAATATTACACTCCCACCCCCACCCCCTCAAAAAAACTACACCAGCAACACTCATATAATTATTAATAATAATTTACAATTCATCCTTTCGGTTGCAAAGCATAAATCACCCACCGCCAAAGCCAACCCCCAAAACAAACTCCGGCTCCTCTTTTTTTTTGCTCATGGAGGGGTGGGTGTGTGTGTGAGGGGTTGGGGGTGAAAAGAGAAGGAAAAACGTCTCGAAATGTGGAGGGTTAACTACCTGTACCACTGCCGCGCCTCTCGTCTGCCAATATTCGCAAATAAGTAACGGTAATAATTTGGGTCTCTCAATCCACTGCCGCGTTTCGCCCACAAAACACACAGTCACTACACTCTACAGTGTATCCTGTGAAGGGCTTTGAGACGTCTCGAAGACGTGATCAGGCGCTGTGTCAAATGCGAGGGTTATTGTTCTTAGTATTATTTCCCGAGCCTGGGGAAGCGGGTAAGTATTTATGGCTGCCTTTCCCTTGCCTTGTTTTGTGCGCGAGTTGATTCTGTACAATGAAGATCTGGACTTGCTGGGGATTTAGATATAAAAAAAATATACATTTATATATATTTATACAGTTTTGCAAGCCTTATCTCGCTGTGTAACAGACGCAAACCCACACACACACAAAAGGCTTCTCTCCCCGGCAAAGATTCAAAATTAAGGCAAATTTCTGCCCGTGTCACCTGTTAAGATATTATTCCTCTCCTCCCTTCCCAGCCTTGGAATCTAATGACAGACTTGGGGGGCCGAGGCGGGGGGGGGGGGGGGGGGGGGGGGAGAGAAAAGAATTGCATATAAGCAAATTCGGCGGTTTGATGTTATTTGGCAGATTTGTGCTTACGCAGCAAAGCGACTGGAGAACAGAGTACAGCGTCGCTGGCTTTATTCTGTCTGGTAAACTGCTTACTACTGTGTAAGAGAGAGCAGCTCGCGCTCTGCTCCCTCTCTGTCTGTCTCTTTCTCTCCCCTCTACCCCCACCTCTTTGAAACCGCAACTACTGGTGAGTTCACTGGCAACAGGTGGCTGACTGAGGGTCTAAACCCCCTGTTGAGGGCTCCGAGACGCTGCCCATCTGAAGGGCGCTGTGTAATAACAATGGCCATCCCGGCATTTGACACAGCGCCTCATCACGTCTTCGAGACGTCTCAAAGCGCTTCACAGGGTACGCTGTAAAGTGAAGTGACTGGGTGTTTTGTGGGTGAAACGCGGCAGCCAATTACGCACAGCAGCGTCCCCCACAAACAGCTGTGGATTGAGGGGGGACCAGATTTTTTTGGGTTGGAGGGACTATTACTCCCCAGAAAGTGATCCGCCAATCGACTAACACCCGGATTTCTACTGACTGCTGGTAAACAGAGGCGTGTGTGTGTGTGTGAGGGGGAGTCAGGAAACTTGCCTAAGGTTTGGTCCCGCCCGGGAATCGAACCCGGGTCCTCTCGCTTGCGAGGCGAGGGCTCTAACCGCTGAGCTACAGGACTCCAGTTAAGATTATTCCCTCGGATTCAGGAAGGTGTGGAGCAACCCTCGTTTCTTTCTCTGATTTGAGTGATTTTTCTGCCTCGAATTGGACGATTTCCTCACTGATTAATTCATTTCTTGTCCGATTGTGGTTTGATTAATTTCCCGATTGATTGATTTGTCTCTCCTGATTGTTGTTTTATTCCTTCATTTTGATTTCTCACCTGATTGATTGATTGATTGATTGAGTGATTGATTGATTGAGTGATTGATTGATTGAGTGATTGATTGATTGATTGATTGAATGATTGATTGATTGATTGATTGATTGATTGATTGATTGAATTCCCCCTGATAGGGCACAGCACCAACCCCCCCACCCCCCACCCCACCTCACACACACAGATATCAGTCAAAACCCAAAATACTGCAATTGCTGGAAATCTGAACCAAAAGCAGAAGTCACTGGGAACCCTCAGCAGGTCAGGCAGCATCTATGGAGAGAGGAAAGCGAGTCAATGTTTCGGGTCCGCGACTCTTCGTCAGAACAGATATAAGTCTTGTGTGTTTGTGTTTGTTCAATCTAATGAGAATCCACTTGGATTCCACCGCTGGGCGATAAACTATGGAGTCCTGTCGCTCAGTGGTTAGAGCCCTCGCCTCGCAAGCCAGAGGATCCGGGTTCGATTCCTGAGCGGGACGAAACCTTAGGCAAGTTTCCTCACTCCGCACACAAACACCCGCACGCCTCTGTTTTCCAGCAGTCAGTAGGGTTGGTAGCAGTCGATTGGTGGATCGTTTTCCAGGGGTAACGTTCCCCTTCAAAAATATATAATAATAGTTTGGTCACACAATCCACGGCTGTTTGTGGGACTCTGCTGTGTGCAATTCGCCCACACCACACCCAGTCACGGCTCTGTACAATATATTCTGTGAAGTGCTTTCAGACGTCTCAATGACTTGATAAGGCACTATATCTAATGCAAGGATTATTGTTATTATTATGATTATGATTATAATTAGAAAGCAGGAGATACCAGAGACAGGGTGGGGCGAGGACGTAAGAATGGGTGGGGAGTGGGGGGGCGTTTAAAGTCAATCTGTGCACACGCTGTAATTTTATTGATGCCAATTTAGCCTTCACACGTAGAAAATTCCCCTTGAAATCGCACAAACTCTTTTGACGTTGCCCAATTTACGTTTCCTGGCGAAGATTGTTCGAGACGTGGGGAGTTAACCCTTCGAGCACCACCGTCAATTTTGCTTCAAATGCCAAACCCGCTAAACGACGAGGCAGGCTTTTAAACCAACAGCAGCAACGCAGGAATTGCTCGACCGAAAAGACCAAAGTCCATCCTAAGTTTGCCTTCCTCCATCCCGGCAGTCGCTTGTATACATTTCATCCCCAAATATTATTTCCTAAAAGCAATGATCTCATTTGCATTTGGAGGAGTCGAATGCAAATGATTCCACTTCCAATATCTCCCTATGTAGTGATGCGGTCTATATTAATAATATAATAATCCTTTGCATTTGATACAGCGCCTTATCACCTCATTGAGATGTCTCAAAGCACTTCACAAAATATACTGTAAAGTCGAGTGACTGTATATTTTGTGGGGCAGCCGATTGCATACAGCAGCGTCCCCCACAAACAGGCGTGGAGTGAGCGACCAATTTTTTTTGAGGGATTATTCCCCACCGGAAAAGCGATCCGTCAATCCTACTGACTGCTGGTAAACAGAGGCGTGTGGAGTGAGCAAATTTGCCTAAAGTTTTGCCTCGGATGGAAATCGAACCCGGATTATATATTATATGTTATTATAGGATTATTGCACAACTAACTTGGAAAGCAAGGGTTGCCGTTCTGCCCCAGGTCAGAGATAATGTTTGTCAATGACTAATTACCAGTGACCTCCATCTCCTTCAGTGGAAGGTAATTTATCAGACCCAGGTTAAGGTTGTCTTATCAATGAGCTGTACTGCACTGAAGTGTCAATGCCAATTTGAACCATTGATTAACTGAGTTTGCGGCTGTTTATTGGGGAGAAGCAATCTATTTATGTTAAACCAGTCAATTGAGTTATATTGGTTATATCCGCAGTGTAGCGCTTTTACTAACCAGAACCATTGCTTCGCTTCACAACAAACCTTTCAGAATAAACCTGCGGAAATACCGCTTCAGCGACTTATACAGTCACTAGATTTTGCTCCGCTTGGGAACCAAACCCAAGGCGAGGAATTTAACCACGAGACTACGGGACTCCACAAGTCACTGCGCATTTGTA